AACAGAAGGACACACCGCCCGGCCCTGCACCACCCTCAGAACGGCTGCCATGCTGGAGCCCCCCATGGCAGCCACTGTGTAACTGCACCTTGTTGGGGGTCTTCCCCTTTTTTGACGACCCTCTACTTTACCAAGCATGGCATCCTTCTCCGGGGACTCATCCCTTTCAACAACATGACCAACATGGCCCAGCAAAATCCTACACCCATTTACTTTTTGGTCAGACCTGTCACCATTACCCAATTACCCCATCTCACACACACACACACACACACACACACACACACACCCGAGTCTGCTTCTTCTCTGACATGCCAGGCCATGGTACCTTTGTCCTACTGCCTGGGCCAGGGTTGGACGTCAGAGAGTAGCACATTTTATAATGCTCTTTGTCCCCTGCTGCCCCAGGACTGATCCAGGAACCTGTGTGGGACACACTGTGGAGCCCAGATCAAGGGCTCTGGGCTTCCTGGCCTTCCTGGGCCCTGCCTGGGGGCAGGGCGAGATGAGAAAGCAGATCCCAGCCCTGTGCAGACAGAGCCTGTGGGTGAGCCGGGGAAGTGCGAGTGACGAGGGACCAAGCAGCCAGCGTGTCCTGCAGGGCTCAGCCAGGCAGGTCACAGCGCCAGAGCTGTGGAGGCCGCCACAGGCACGCGGGCGGGAGCCTCAGCAAGGACTGCACGGAGGAGGCTGTCCCCACTGCCTCACAGAGCGCCAGGGAAAACCCTCGGCATCAGGGCTGAGGCGTGGGGAGGCCGTGGCCTGTCAAGGCCCCACCTAAGCACACGAGCCTTGCGTGACGCTGAGGCTAAGGGGGCTCTGGGTGACTCTGCAAGAAAACAGCAGAAATAGAGAATGGTCTGGGACTCCAGGGAGATCCTCATTACCACCTCCATCTGGATCAGGACGTGGCCTGTGGCTCAAAGGGGAGGGTCACTCCTGTGTCCCATAGCCGCTTTGCACCGACCCCTGTCATCCCTGCCAACGAGAATGCTTTCTGATTCACCACACGGCGGCTCTTTCCCCAGCTCTTGGCTTTTGGTTGCCCTGTTATTCTTTGATTCTGGGTAATGGCCAGACTTTGTCTCCCCTACTTTGGTCATGTGGTCAGAAGGGACCATTCCCTGGAGAAGGATGTCATGCTTGGTGAAGTAGAGGGTCAATGAAAGAGGGGAAGGCCCTCAACAAGATGGACTGACACAGTGGCTGTGGCAATGGGCTCAGGTAGAGCAAGGCTTGTGAGGCAGGGGCAGGACTGGGCGGTGTTTCATTCTGCTGGACGAAACCAACTCAGTGGCACCTAACAACAATATGCAGAAAAATAAGTAGAACTTACACATTCAGTTTAACAAACGATTACAAAGTGAATGCTTGTTACCATCACACAGGCTAAGAAAGGGAACCAGCCACTCAGACCCTCAAGCCGTCCCAACCATCCTCCCCTCCCCCAAAGGTAATCACTACTGACTTCTATAATAAGCATTTCCCTGTTTCCAGAGGGATTCCTACACAGGAAGTTACTTTTTAACTTTATGTGAATGGAATCACACTATTTGGTTTTGTATCTTTTGCTTAATCATGTGTGTTAGACTCCTCAGCTGCTCGTTCATTTCCAGGCTACCAGGTACCCCAAGGCACCAATGGACTGCTTCCTTACCAGTTCCAGTACCTGTCGCTGGCAGGGCCTGGGGACTATTAGCAGCAGTGTGGCTTGCCTGTTTTCTGTGGTCTCCTGATGCAGGTGTTCCAGGCACATCCCTGAGAACAGAATTGCTAGCTCACAGGGTGTGGATTATTTTTTGTTTTACCCACTAACACCCACGGTTTTCCAATGTGTTCATACCAATCTACACTCCCACCAATTGGCTATCAGTTCCTGTTGCTCCATCTCCTCCAACACTTGGTATTGTCAGCCTTCAATGTTCTGCCAACCCAGTGGGTGTGTGATGACACCTCACTGGCACTTCCCTGATTCCTAAGGAAACTGAGCACCTTTCCCATGCCGACTGCCACTGGGGCGACACATTGCTGTCTGTCTCTGCTCCTTTATGCATTTTCTATTGTGTTGTCCGTTTCCTTCTTACCGATACACGCTCTGGACACAGCCCTTTGTGTCTATTACGTGTTTCAAGTGTCTCTTCTCACTCTAGGTTTGTCTCTTCACTTTCTTTATGGTGTTTTTTTTAATTTGCATTTTTTAAAACAATCTTTTTTGTTGTTCTTGAGAATGTACACAGAAAAATATGCCAGTTCAAGTGTCTCCATGTACAATTCAGCCACACTGATGACATTCTCTGAGTTGTACAACCATTCTCACTCCCCTGTTCTGAGTTGGTCCTCTCCTATTAACGTAACTTTACTGCCTCCTAAGGCCACTCCTCGGAAGGAAGGTTGGGCGATCTACTTCCATAGTGATACTGCCTCGGAAACCCAAGGAGGGGTCGCTATGAGTCGGGGCCGACTCGACGGCAAACAACAACAACAAGGTCCCTATCTAATCTTTGGGGTTGCAATTTGATCCCACATGAACAGAACTTAAGGGAGCATAGTGCCCAAGGCAGGCATTCTTACCAGTTCAGCTAAACTGTTGTTTAGTTTTAAGAAGATCCAGGAGGTTTTTGGGTTTAAGGTTTAAAGATTATCTCAGGGCAATGGTTTTGGGGTTCATCCAGCCTCCATGGCTCCAGAAAAATCTGGATTCTGTAAGAATTTTATATTCTGTCCTATAGTTTCCCCCTTTTGATCAGGATTCTTCTACAGAATCTTTGATCCAAATATTCAGTGATGGTAGCTGGGCACCCTCCAGTTCTGATCTCAGGGCAAAAGATAAAGTTAACCACATATTCTATCGCCTCCCCCTATTCCTGGCTCCTCTTCCTCTGTTGCTCCAGGTGAATAGAGACCAAATGTTGTGCCTTGGATGGCTGCTTGCAAGCTTTTATAAGACCCCAGGCACCACACAAGGCACCAGGAGATAGAAGCACTGAGCACATTACTAGGCCAATTAACTAGGATGTCCCATTCCCGTGAAACCATGACCCCAAATCTCCAAGCCAAGAACTAAGTCCCATGAGTCGTTTGGTTATATATCAACAGTCTCAGTAGGTACTTTTCCTTTTTATCACTGTAAATATATTACACAACTTGTGCCAATTCAACTTTTTACGGGTATACAACTTATTGGCAACAAATTCATTAATCAACTATACGACTCTTTACCTTTAGTCAATGCAATTTTTCTATCACCATAAACTGAAATTCAGTATTCAGGCTTTACGATGTCTTTGCACTACACACCCAGAGCTCCGTTTGGTTTTGGCTTTTGGTTTGATGCACAGCCTCCCCAGGTGGTGGGACTGCTAACTGAAAGGCTGGAGGTTCCGAGTCTACCCACAGGGAACTTGGAAGAAAGGCCTGGCAGTCTACTGCCAAAAAAGCAGCCATTGAAAACATTATGCAGGTCCTTGGGTAGTGCAAACGGTTTGCACTCATCCAATACTGAAAAAGTTGGTGGTTTGAACCCACTCAGCGGCACTGCCTGAAAAAGAGCTGGCAATCTGCTTCGGTACAGATTGCAGCCAAGGGAACCGTACAGAGCAGTTCCACTTTGTAGCACACAGGCCTCCTAAGTCACAAATCAACAGAACTCTGGTGTTCAGTTGTTCTGACAATCACAAGGCTGCCATAAGCCGAAATCAACTCAATACCAATCGCTCGGTCGGGTTCTAGTATTAATTTTTTCTTTAGAAATTCATCCCTGCCGAGAGACCGTGAAAGTCCACCTCAATTTCTGTATTTACACCTTGGGTGTTGGTCATCCTCTCATCAGACTGGAAGCCCTACAAGAGTTCTGTTTGTATCAAGCAGCTCCTTCATGGTGCTGGATACCACGCGGGGCTGGGCCCTATACAGGCGGCGTTTCATCTGATTCTCAAAACCACATTTTCCAAGCAGGGAAACTGAGGCTCCAAGAGGCCAAGTAACATGACCAAGGAACACACTGCACTCGGTATTCAGGTTTTCAAGAGTTCCAGTCCGGCTACTTCCTGGTAGCAAGTTTCTGAACAAACTGGCCTCTGAGCTCCATTTCCTCACGTGTGAAAAGAGAAAATAATTGTTATGAAAAAATAAGTGCTTGTGAGGCGCTAAGCTGTGGACCTGGTGTGACCTAAATATTCAGCAAACTTCAGGAATCAAGATGCACTGAATAGAAGTGTAAGGCACTTCTCTGTCCCAGCTGTGACGCCCAGGCCCCTGCCTCCAACAAGCCAGCAGACAGAGGCGACAGCCCTGCCCACTCCCTGCGGAGGCCAGAACACACAGCCACGGCCAGCCCACCCCGTCCCTGGCACCTGGTCTCCACTGACTTTCCACCAGGTGCTGCCTGGTCCAGCTGGTGATGTCACTGTGGAGCTCCCGGGAAGGGATCAGCCCACACTCTCCCCCACATTACTCAGGGATTGAGACACTCCACGGCACCTGCTGAGGCCCATGTGGCTGGGGTGGCTGTCCTCTGGGAGTGGGAAGGGAAGTTTCGGTCTGTGCCATGTGTGCGCTAAGGAGAGCAGGCCGCCTGCTGGGTCCCTGGGGAAGAGGCCATACCCAGCCCACTTACTTCTCAACACAAAGGCCAAACAGGAAGGCCACTGACTTTATTGATTTAAAAAACTTTACAAGGACAGTGACTGTTCTGCCCAAAGGGGCCCAATGGCATAGAAACAAACCCGAGGTGACGGTGAGTGTGAGGGAAGGGGCCGGGAATCCGCTCGGGAGGGCTGGAACTGCTGCCGTGGAGCCGGCGGAGGAAAGACGGGGAACTCACGCAAGAGCGAGAATTCCAGAAACGCTGCAACGGCGAGGAGAGACTCCTGAAAGGCCTGGAGTCCAGGGGGGAGCAAGACAACAGCAATGTTCTCCTTGGTAGAGGACGGGGAGGGATCCCCACTCAACTGCAAACCCTGGAGACTCAGGGCTGGGGACTGGGGGCTCCCCAGGCAGCATCACAAGAAGGCGTCGCACCACTCTCGGAGGCACCCAAAGCAGTCCCGGGACTGCTTGGCGTTGGCTCCGCACGTGTCCTTGAGCCATTCCCGGAAGAGGTCTTCATCCTTCTTTAGCACCAGGAACTGGCCGAGGACCACGTACGCCTGCAAAACAAGCAGGCAGACGGCAGGCCGTGACTGACACAGCAGAACCCAGGAGCCCAGGAGGCAGGGTGTGTCCCCCGTTTCACCTCCAGGTGACCAGGCTCCGGCTGGCCGTCTCCTAGATTATACACCGCTCTCCACCCCGCAACAGGTCTGTCCCTTTCCCCACTCCTACTCCAGCAAGAGATACTGTGGTCTCCCACCCCAAGCCCTACAGGCAGCAGGCAGCCACCCCACCTTGTCAAAGCCCCTCTCTTCTAGCTTCTTGCCCAGTACTTCACCGATGCCGGCCAGGCTCCCCACCGGCTTCTCTCCCATGGGCTCTGCCACGAAGTCTCGGTGCTTTTGGGAGGTTGTCATCTTGAACGGGCTTAATCTGGGAATCCCGACAAAAGGGACATTAGGTTAAGACCCCAAGGGCCACTGGCAACGTGAGGTCATGCGGAAACTAGCCCAGTCATTATGGTAGCTTAGTGGATTGCCCTCATTTCAAGGCAAGAAAACTGAGGTCCAGGCTTTATTCCACTACAAGTCCCCCACGTGGGATATATTCCAATTACCACCAACCCCTTTTAAGAACGGTGTGCTTTTTTGGTTTTTGTACTGTTAGTAATACGAACAGCCCACAACGTGCAGCATAACATACCGAGGTTAATCATTCTCACGTGTTTACTTGCGTACATCCAATGTCAGGATAAACACTACCATGTTTTGTAACGGAAATTAAACAAAAAAACAACAGCTCTGCAACTTAGGTCAGAACCGATACCACCACCCGCCGTGGTAACTCGGGTACCACCTGTATTCAGAACTTTCACTTCCTGCGGAAACTGGGTTTTGGTATAGCTGCAGAGGGAAAACCCTCCTGCCGTAACAGGTGGCGGAGCGCTGGGCACTGGGAAGATTCCCAGTCAGTCGCCAGGGCCCGCCCCGCAGCTGTCACTCCCGCTATGACCTTGGCCCGGCTCAGCACTGACCCGAGCTGGGACCGCCTCCTGGTCTGAAAAGCAGACTGAAAGTCTCCGTGTCCCATCCGCCCCCCACAGACTGTCCACAGAGCGAAGGCGCGGGGCCGCACGCAGCGCGCGCTGGCGACCCAGAGCCCCAGCCGCGCGCAGTCCTGCCGCCCCGCCCCCACCGCCCCGCCTCTCGCACGCGCCGCGCCCCGCCCCGCCCCTTCCACGCGCCGGGCGAACGCCTCTCAGAGGGCGCACGCCTAGTCCCCCACCGCGCTTTCGCGAGTTCTCTCCTCCCTGCCGTCCTGTGCTTACTCGGGTCTCCAACCCGGGCCCTGCACTGCAGCTCGCGCTCACAGAGAACTCACCCTTAACGGCTCCTCCCGCCACCCGGCCGCTCCCGCCGCTACCTCAACCACTAGAACGTTCTTCGGCTTCCGCTTCCGGCTCGCCTCTAGCACCGCCTTCTAAAAAACCCAAGTTGGGCACTTCTAGCCACCGAAAGCCATAGAGATGAGGCGTTCCAGTCCTCGACCGCACCCTTAGTGGGCGCTCTTTTCTGGTCGCTTTGCGGGAAGCTGGGGGGCCTTTTATGGTCTCGCTTCCCGTGTGGCCCTTCCGGTCTCGGAACAGAGGCTTCGAAGAAGAAAACTTCCTTTCCCTTTTCCCAGTATCCGGAACTCAAAGACTTAGCCCCGGCTGACTTGGCGGTGGGAAGAGTTAGAGAGTCGGACAAGGCGTGTGGGTGTGTAGCCGGGAGGCTTCCGAGAGTGCACAGGAAGTACAGTGCTAGGAAAGGTCCGGTAGACTCTCGTGTCGCCTTCAGTGCTTTCGGGCTGGTAGTAACTGGAAGGGAACGTAGACCACCAAAGACCTGAATTCAAGACGGCGCCACTATCGTGACCACCCGCAAACTCCTTTTCTGTACCTTCGTTGGGTCTCCTGCGAAGTGCGTTTTGGACGGCCGCTCTCAGCGTCCAACCTGGAGAACGAGGTCTCTCGGCTAGCGCCCGTGGGATAATCGAGGGCCAGCGAGTGAGTGTGGATTTCCAGGGATAGAGGAGAGAGGAGCGCAGGGGATGGGAGTTAGGAGTGACACTTTAGGGTTTCGTTTGGATTAAGGTTAGGGTTAGATTAGAACATCAGTCTTGGTTATTGCTTTGGACCGTTGCCCTGGGCTCCTGACTAGTCTCTGCTTGTACTGTGGTAAAAGCTCACTTCCATCGAGTCCATTCCGACTCACAGCGACCCCTATTGGGTTTCCGAGGCTGTAACTCTTTACCGAAGTAGATGGCCTTATCTTCCTAACGCGGAGCGCCTGGTGGGTTTGAACCACTGACCTTTTGATTAGCAGCCAAATGCCTTATCCACTACGTCACCAGAGCTCTTTTGGCATTGGTGGTTTAGTGGTAGACTTCTCGCCTGCCACCCGGGAGGCCTTGGGTTCGATTCCCGGCCAGTGCAGTACAGTGTAATGAGAGGGTATAAATTGAGCGTCTGGGTGGTGTGGGCTGCGCTGGACTTGGGAGGTCCAAGCATGTTGAAGATACTGTTTATTTCATATCCCTTGGTAGAATGATTTCTGTAGAACGCGTGTATCGTTTTATGGTTACATTGATAGATGTCACAGGAGTTAGTTTTGAGCGCTTAGGGCATTGTGTACACTGTGCTAAGTGAAATACTTAAATTATTTCATTTGAATAACAGTGCTCTGAGTTAGTTTTTTTTCCCCCCCACCCTTCTTGCTAAGCCCTGGAAAAGTTGAACAGCTGGGAAGTAACCAAGGTAGCAGTTCACTCCAGGTACTTAGACTTCAGAGCCCATGTTCTTATCCAGGACACTGTGTGGGTCCTCTGACCCTCCCCTTCACCCAAACTGTTCCAGGCTCTGAGCCTGCTATCCAGGGAACTCCGGAGGAGGAGTTGACAGTCTCTGCATCCCTCACACCCCAGGACGGGACCCAGCATGTCTCAGGCCACCAAGAGGAAACATGTGGTGAAGGAAGTGCTGGGGGAACACGTGGTGCCCTCCGACCAGCAGCAGATTGTGAGGGTGAGTAGCATGGGGGACAGTGCGCTGTCCTCCACCTCCGTGGGGCTCCTGGGGTGCAGGTAGGGTGTGGTGTGGCTCGTCTGACGATGAGGCCGACTGGTTCTCCTTTGCTCCTGGACCAGGTACTGCGGACCCCAGGGAACAATCTGCATGAGGTGGAGACCGCCCAGGGACAGCGTTTCCTGGTGAGCATGCCCTCCAAGTACCGCAAGAACATCTGGATCAAGAGAGGTGAGCGAGGCGGTCTCCCCGGAGATGGCCGTGTCCTCCTCCGGCACCAGGACTGACCTGGCCCTCCCTGCACTCTCCCTGCAGGCGACTTTCTCATTGTTGACCCCATTGAAGAGGGAGAGAAGGTGAAGGCTGAGATCTCCTTTGTGCTGTGCAAGGACCACGTGCGCTCTCTGCAGAAGGAGGGCCTCTGGTAGGCTTTTGGAGGAATGTCTTCCTAGCCTTGTAGTTGTTGTTGTGTGCCGTCAAGTCGGACCCGGCTGATAGCAACCCCTCCTTGGGTTTCCGAGGCAGTATCACTATGGAAGTAGATTGCCCAGTCTTCCTTCTGAGGAGTGGCTGGTGGGTTTGAACCGCCAGCCCTCTGGTTAGCAGTCAAGTGGCTTAGGCACTGCACTACCAGAGCTCCCAGCCTTGGAGTTGAGGGAGGGAAAATTACGGCATCCTAGGCACAGACAGCTGGGAACGGCTCCTCTGCAGACAGACTTCACTGTCCTCCCTGACCCTGTCTTTTCTCTTCGCGCAGGCCTGAGGCCTTCTCCGAAGTGGCCGAGAAACACAATGGCAGGAATAGGTAAGGAACAAGCTTTGGGCTAGGGAGGGTGGAAAATAGGGGCCCAAGCACCAGTGTAGAGCCTGCCTTTCTGCCTATAAGGACTCCTGGGAAGAGCCCCTTAATATGTGATATAATTAGGGTAGGAGGCTGGCTTGAGAGGTTGATCGGGTTCAAATCCTGGTTCTACCATGTATAGCAGAGTGCTGGCAAGCAGGTTAGCTCATCTCTAAGGCTTCAACTTTTCTCATCAGTAAAATGAGAGCTTTTTGAGGATCACAGGAGCAAACACTTAAGAAGTTGACCTGTATAGTATGTAATGTGGGCCCAGTCGGTATTAGCTGATAGTAGTAGAATGATTATTAACCAAAAGCAGTGGCTCTGTGACTGTACACCACGTGATCCACAGCCTATATGACTGTGAGACCAGAAGGACTAGATGGTGCCTGGCTACCACTGTCAACCGCTCGGAGGGGGATCTTTGTAAGAGATCCTTGATAGAGTGGGAGAACGATGCAGAACAAAACTCATTAAAAAAAAGGGGGGGTGCAGGTTTGCTGGTCTGATAGAGCCTGGTGGAACAACTGAGACTGTGGCCCCTAGCTGCCCTTCAGGTCTGGAATTGAACCCACACCTGTGGCTTCCAGCGAAACAAAAGACAGGCATATGAGCTGAACACTTACATTAGGTAGATACACTCCTTGGAGAGAACAATCATTGGAGAATAGAAGGTTTGTGTATGCATAGGGAGACAGCTCAGGAGGCAGGAGTGCATGGAGGGAAGGACAAAGGGTAGAGGTAATCATGGGGAGGAAGTGGGAGGGGACCTGTTGCATTGTGGGAAATTGCACTCAATGTCATGAGACAAAGTGTATGTGAGCTGCTGTATGGAAAGTGAATTTGCTCTGTAAACTTTCACCCAAATCACAATTACAAAACAAAAACAGTGGCTCTTGCAGAGTTTGGGGAGGAGTAGGTGTTGGGGGGCAGTCTTTAGCCCATTTCCTTGACTCTGCTCCTCCTTCTAGTCTTTAAGGGAGCGCTGAGGCCTTTGGGGTCCCGACTGCTTGGCCAGATGATCCCTCTCTTGGTGGGGCCCCTTGGTTGCAGATCTGGCCTTCCCAGAAGGCAATGGGCTAACTCTCCCTCTTCCCCCATGCAGACAGACTCAGCCAGAGCTCCCAGCTGAGCCCCAGTCATCGGGAGACGAGTCCAGCTCTGAAGATGATTCTGACCTGTTTGTTAACACCAACCGCAGACAGTACCAGGAGAGCGAGGAGGAGAGCGAGGAGGAGGCAGCCTAAGACCCCAGGGCCCGCTCTCCGCTGGCTCAGAGACTGGTCCCTGGGCCCCCTGGGCTCGGACATTCCCAGCTGCAGCTATTCCCCCTGGATGGGGACAAGGCAGGGCCTGCTGTGAATGGACTTTCCTGACCTAAGGAGAATTAAACCCCTGGTGGGTGGTGACTTGCATTGCTGTCTGCGTGGCTCTCTGGGGGAGGAAGTATTTGTGGTGAAGTAGAAAAAAGTACGTGCCCTTTGGTGGAAGGCTTAGGGGCCAGAGGCCTAATGAGAGGGAAATGGAGACTGGCTGGCGTCTTTCCCGAGGTGGTCCATATTCTTTCTTTCTGCATCGTTAAGCCTTTAGAAGTGACAGGCTGTGTCTCTGTGCGTGTGTCCAATGATGGGAGCAGCCCACGTCATCTGCTTCCTGTTAATCCTGTTTGAAGATCACAGCCCTAGAACCTAGGGGTCACCTGTCTCTTGGAAACACTCAGGACAAACGCTGTGATGCCTCAGGAGCCACGTGCCCGCCTCTTGTGATCCTCTGGCAGAGTGCGCACCTCCATGTGCTGTGGCCATTCTGCCACTTGCAGAATGTCTGCCGTGTGACCAGCAAACCTCCCTGTGTCCTTAACCTTGTTTTGAAGGTCCTTCTGTCTCCTGACTTTATCTGAAAGCTAGCTGTTCCCCCGAGGTCATCAGTTGCCCTGTAACCTAGATGGTAGCTGCTTTCTGATCCCTGTGCCTCGGCTAGGACATAGGTTGGTGGCCCCCTCACAGCTGCTCAGACCGTCACTCCCCACCCTCTTGCAAACCACACCCTCCCACTTCTCCTTGGGAGCTTTTGCCGGTACCTGGACATTCCCTCTCCGTGGCTGGCGTTGGCCTAGTCACTGCTCGGTTGTTGGAGAGTTCACTTCCTGGCTTAGAGGCTTCCACCCGCGTATGTCTTTATACTCTCCCTCCTGTGGACGGGCCTGTTCAACACTATGGCCCACTAGTTCCTTGATGCCCTCGGCTCTAATGTCCTTCTAGTTTGCTGCCTTCACACCTGGTCACTCTTAGACCCCAGAGGCAGCTAGGAATTACAGCACCTGTTGAGTTTAAATGCCCCGCTAATCACCACCTCCTGGCTGCACTGCCTGCTTACTCAGCTGCCCCTCTGGAGACATCCTTCAGGCTCATCCTCCCGTGAACAGCTCTGCCTTCTCACATCAACCTCCTGTGTTCACGTCCCTCACTGAGCACACATGTGCCAGCCCCTACCCTCAACTCCTGTCTCTGCTCTGCGTTCACCTGGTAGAACCATCACCCTCAGTGGGCCCCATCTCTCACCTCTGTGCCTGCATCCAAGAAATCACTGGGGGCGAGTAGCCAACCCGGCCACCAGATGCACCTTAAGCCCGCAGGTA